GAGACGTGTCCCCTCGTAAGTTTCATTACTGATCAAGGTGCTCATCATACAGAAAAGGTACCCAAAGGTACCTAACCCAGTCAACTAACTCAGACAAATAGATATTATCAACCTTGGTTATGATATTTAACATGTGAGAGTCTGGTAAAAGGATGGAAGGGTTATAGAGAACAATGAACTTCAATCTATTTGAACAATATCAATTTTGTCATAAAACAGATATTAACTGCAGCTAAATATTTGCTGTTGTAGTCACAGCAATTGAGTCGTTGGTTTCAATTTATTTCTCATTATTGATGAAGAATCATTTTTGTTAGCACACTTGAAGGTATCATTCTGAGAAAGTTGAACGGTAAGATAAAGGATAGATAAGATACTAAAAACGGTTAAATGGTGGTTCATATTTTTTGAGAGTGAGGAATAGGTCAGGTTAGATTAGGCTAGGTGAAGAAAGAAATCAAGTTTACCCTGTTATTGGTGACACTGTGTTTTGCCAATTTAACAACAGCAAAATTACCCTTTCCAATAGTCTGTACAACATCGTAGTAACCACATTTCACTGGTGTAACTGTTTCGCATCCCGTTAAATTAATGTCCCTCATTTTATCGGAAAGATCGTTGTCTCCCATTCAATAGTGATGTGAAACCAGAAATGGTAGGTCCAAATATTGGATTAATATTGGATAAATGTTGGTATCTCCTTTACTTTGGTTAAATGTAGCATTCAATATAACAGAAGGTATAACAGCACAATATATATTTTTGATTTATATATATATATATTTATATGTATATAAGTGTATAAAATTGATTCACTTAAATCAAGAATTTATATGAAACAAGAAATAAAGAGGTAGAGTTTGACGAAGAGAAGGAGAGAGAGAAACCAGGAGAGTAAAGGAGTTGCAGTAAACCAGAAAGGCAACGGCAAGTGGATAAGAACAATTGACCAGAATTTTTAATGCTCAACAAGAGAAATGTATACAAAAAGATATTATTGACAAAATATGCAAAAAGGGACTGAGGTGATCAAGGTACAAGGTTAACTGTATTGCACTAATAACAAATGATTTAACTAGGAGGTTAACACGAATGATCAAAATGGGAGAGAAAGGGAGAAAGAGAGAGAGAGAGAGAGAAAAAAAGACGGAATGGAGAATTATAATTCAAGCTTATCCAGAGAAACAGACAGGGTGAAAGTAAGAGGAAAACGAAAGATGATTGGAATACACAGAGAGAGACAGATGAAGAGGGTAGGGAGAGAGATAGGGAACGAGAAAAAGAGAAGCGTAAACAATCAGAAAACACAGTTAGAAATGAGGATGAGTATTAATCTAGGTAGAACAGTAAAATAGAGGGAAAACAAAGATAATGTTGATGGAGGCCGATACTGTTCATATGATTAGATGATTAACTCTCATGGTAGCTCAACAATTAATTTATATTGTACTAAATACACTAAATGAACATGGTTAGTTAATAGATTACAGAAAAATATCAAAAAAGAGAAAGAGAAGAATAAGAATAAGAATAAGAGAAAAGAGAGAAAAAGAAAGAGATAGAAAGAGATAAAAAATACTTGGTTCAACTTTCAGAGTAAAATGATTTTCATCCTTCACTCAGACTCACTTGGAATCTCGGTTACATTTGAAGCGCTGTTTTCAATTTTTTGATTGACTTGATTGTGTTGACATTGGAAGAGGTTGGAAAACTTGAATTTGGAAGAAGCGCTTCTAAAGTAGGAGGAAAATACAACGAACCAGAATGAAACAAGGACAACCTAAACCTTGGTCTGAAAGGTGCATGAAAATCACCGCCATCAAAAGCTATTTAATTTTGTTATCCGTTCGAGTTGATTCTGTAAAAAATTCAATAATCAAGGAGAGTATTTTATGACCATCGGGGAACACCTCTTGTTAAAGGCAAGGTTTCTCGTATTAATAAGATTTCACCTTCTGATTATCGTTCTTATTTAAAATACATGATGTTGAAGCATAAGTTTACCAGGATTAAGATTGACCACAACCGAAAATTGAAATAAACTCAACACCAAGCAAGTAAATGTTATTATCTGTTATTTTGACGATACATGAATCTTTGAGTACAAGACATGGTAAAATGCTAATAGAGAATAAATGTTTATTGTTTAATTGGATATAATTATAAATCAAAATGTTATCAAATCAAAATTATTCATCATTAGTTCCATCTTCTTCTACTTTTTCACCCTCTTCACCCTTCTCGCTTTCTTCAACCTTTTCACCTTCTTCTTCATTAACCTCTTCTTCCTCATCTTCTTCGTCTTCCTCCTCCTCCTTTTCCTCGTTTTCCTTTTCCTTTTCATCGGCCAATTTCGCTTGTTCCAATGATTTACGAATAACCATTCGTTCCTCTAATTCCTTTGCAATCAATTTTTCTTTCATTTTGTAATTTTCAATCAATGTCTGGTCATCAAGTCGAGCATTTTTAAATGTTTCCTCGAGAGTCAGAAGGTCCTTTTGGTATTTTTTGGTCTCTTTCTTTAGTTGTTTACTCAATTTCTCGATCTCATTACAATGAATAGTCCAATTTTCTTTCAACTGATCCCGGCGTTTTACAGTTTCCTTCAATTGTCTTTTTAAAACATCCCGTAAGCGAGTGGTCAATGCAAGGTGTTCATCGATTCTTTCCTTTTGGCTTGTCAATTGGTTAATTTTTTCAACAATGGTACGATGATATTGATGAAATTGTTCAGCTTTTGATTCAGTTTCTTTCTTTTTTTCTTCAGAGAGTTCTTCATCAACGGCTGCCATTTGTTTCAACATTGAATCAATTTCGGCCAGGCAATTAATCAGATTGGTTTCCTCCTTCTTCAAAGTTTCAATTTCAGCATCAATTAGCTGTTTACGACGAGCAGGGTCAATAGATAAATTGATTGGTTCCGAACAGTACATTTTTAAATCAAACTGGAAATATGGATAAATAAGATAATCACGTTAATTTAGATTGAATAAGATTAATTAGGATAGCAAAGGTTAGCAAATGATAAAAACGAAGCGTATGAAACTCGGAACACAAGGAAAATGAATAAATACAACAATTGAGAATCAAATTGAATTGTTAAACAATTACAATTTACTAATAAACCATTATTAGAGATTATTTAACAATTAAGTTCGCTTCTGATTGTTAAACTAACTTGTATCCCACGTCTTTAATCATTTACTACACTTTCAATAATACATACTGTAATGTCACTATTTATTGATTGGGTTAATGTCCAATATGTATCCATTATATTGTTTAACATTGTTTTTATCCATTTGAATTCCAAGTAGCAGTCCAATTTTAAAGGTTGACCGAATCATCATTAAATAAATTGATTTAAACGAGATAAAATAGTTTAATTAGAATATTTATGTTGAAAATAGAAATTATTGAGTACAAATAACATTTTTGCTTTCACTTACAATATCTTAAGTTAACTTATACAGCCTAGACATTTTCCTTCTTCTTGGATAACCCATACAGATTACCTTTCAAAAGATTAGAATATGCTAATTGGAATTTATTGATGTCCTTTGGATGGATTACTGTACTAATCTTTTTTTTACCGATCTTAGCACGCAGTAGACACATATAGTCAACATCTTTATCCTTCTTTTCAGCCGTTGATCCACCAATATCATCTTTTTCAGGTTTCACATTTCTCGGTGTAGGCTTATTGGTTCCTGTATATCTTTTCATTGTAATGTAAATTGTATTCCCATTGCTACGATTACGATTGAACATGTTACATAATTCACTGAGGAAAGGTTCATTATCTAGAATGGTCATTCTGGAATCAAGTTAGGTCAATAAAACGAATTAACAAAACAAAATAAAAACTAATAATTCACTTTTTAAAAATGTGGCAACATACACAAAATATCTAGTCCAGGACTAATATTCACATAAAAATATCAGATCTATATACTTTGATCTCAGACTGAATCAAGTTTATTTAGTAAACAAATCAATTGTAGATTTAATTTCTGAAGATTTATTTCTTTCTGTTCAATTATTTAACCAAAACTGTTGACCATAATCTTAGTTAACATTAATTCTGTGAATGTTTCATCGATTGAATGCTAGTAATTGTTGACAAAACTGATCCACGTAAACCTCCATCTGTTGAAAATGGCGCTAATCTCAAAATGGTAAGCTACAAATGTTAAGCTCAAGATGAACTTCATCTCATACAATCAACGTTTTGATGGTGATTTTGTACATAAATCCCAACGATAAATTCAACAATATATGTAAACATCATTTAAATTTGACATGTGACAATTTATTCAGCAAAAAAAAATAAAATAAAGCCAAAGCTTTTTGTTCAAAAGGTATACCCAAATATTGCGGTTAAAAGTGATGATGTGATAGTTTTACTGTGCAATGGTAAACTTGACAATCAGTTGGCTGCTAAATTGTAATTCCTTGAGTTTGTTGATTGGAAAAAGGTAAAGTATTGAATACTTAAATACAGTTTAGATACAATACAAGCTTAACATGGAGTAATATTAGCAGTTAAAAGAGATACCAAACAATTTTGAGTGAAATGAAAATGGTTTCACATTTGAAGGGAAAAATGAGTTAATCATGTAAAAATCAACATGAAACTTGAATGTTTGAACGGGAAATTAAAGAGCAATTTAGTGAATAGATGAGATTAAATAGAAAGGTGATTAATATCACTAATGAGCAAATTATCATGGACAGTGAAATGATTATGTTTAATCGATGAACCTTGAGACTGCTGGTGTTTATTAGTTGCTCCAAATTTCTCAAATCATTCAAAATGTTGATTGAAACAATTGAATATTCACATTTCCATGTTTAAAAAAATATCAGATAGTTTGATAAGATGGAGACAGATTAACACAGAAAAAGGTAAACTGTAAAAACAAAAATATAATGAAAATGTATATCAAAATAAGTGAATAATCATGATAATGATACTTTGTTTCTGTTGTATCAAATCAATACAAATAAAAAATGACGATCAATGGGTAAAAAGGTGATAATCAAGTCATATAAAGACAAAGAAACCAGTTAACGTTTTTGTTTCATTAACCAGTTCTGTTAATCATATTGTCTTATTGCCAAATTGGACGAGTAAACCAAATTAACATACTGTAAAGGGACGGAATGATTTGAACATTGTTTTCAATGGGTTGATGATTAATCAGTGAAAATGTTTTCCATTTCGAGTCAGTTTTTATCAGAAAACATGTAATTATCAAATTGATCCGGATTGAGTTTTGATCCTACTTCTGGATTAAACTGTATACTAGGTAAAAGCCTAGTAAGTTTAAAACTAATTTGAATGGAGTTTAACAAACAATTAAAACAAAATGGACACGAAAAATGGACAAGTGAAAAACATGTTAACTAGAATCTAGAAATAATGAGTAAAAAAAAGAGTGTAATGGCAATTGCTAAGGCAAGTAAAAACAGTTAATCAAAGACATTTTGATGTACATTTTTTAAAACTCAATTGGCATATTGAGTTTGTAATTTTTGCTTTCAACTTGATTTACTGATTTTAATCAGTTGATAGTTGTTGATCTTTCTTGTTGATTGTATCCTTGTCCTGATACTTGTCAACATAATTTTGAATCGTTGCTTGTTGAACAATTTGTCTCCATTTTTATGTTCACCGTTTCTCCAACCATCATTGGTCCAACAACAACTGATACATTATTATTGACTTTAGTGTCCATATTTCGGGCTTCATTATTAATGTTGACATCGTTCAAATTTTTAGTATTGCTATCAACAACAACATTTTCAGGGTTGTTTGGGTTATTTGCCGCATTTGCAGGTCGACGTCCACATCGACCTTTCCTCTGAGGAATCATTTGATAGCGACTGACCTCTTCAGGAAAATCTTTCCAGTGTGTTTTCAAGTGTTTTGTCAAGTGATCGGATCGTGAAAAGCGTCTACTGCATATGGCACAAGAGTATGGTTTATGGCCTGTATGTGACCTTGCATGGCGTGAAAGCTCATCTGATCGGCTAAACTTCCAATTACATTTTGGCCATTTACAGACAAACGGTTTCTCTCCGGTGTGACGACGATGATGTGTTTTCAAATGAGACGATTTTGAGTATCTTTTATCGCAACCTTCATACGTACAAACGTAAATTTTTTCATCAGATGTGCCTGTTGCTGCACCTGAGGAAGTTGCATGATTGGATGGTGATGAAGAGGGTGCTGAGGATGGAGGACTTGAAGATGAAATTGAAGAAGGTGAAGAAGAGGGTGATGATGAATAGAATGAAGAGACTGAGTTTGAAGCCCGACCTCGACGCCCTTGGCCTCTCTTGTTAACTGAAGGAGCAGCTGGAATAGGCTGAGATCCTTTGCTTGTGGACATGATTATTGTTGACTCCAAGGGCTTAATGGGCGCATGAGTTCGTCCCGGAATGTTACCATTGTTATTAACATGATTGTTGCTGTGGTACATAATAGTGGATACTGGTGGTAATGGAGAGTTTATAACACTCGGTCCAGCTCGAATGCCAGTACGACCATTAATTAGCTGTCTTTTATTAATTACTGGAATGTTAGACTGTTCTTGATATGTTGCTTGTAAAGAGGATTCATTAACATTACCCGGAACAGCATAATTGATATTTCCATTGATTACTGTCGATGGATAAATTGAATGTGATAACTGGTTAGAGTTGCCATTTAAATGGGTATGATTTTGATTATGATTGGTTGTACTATTATTGTAACCACCAATCAAAGTATAATTTGCACATTCGGATGATCCTTGACCATTGTTATTGTAAACATGGTTGTACAAATTACCATTATCAAGGTGGTGGACATGGTGATGTTGATTAACATTAGCTGCATTGATAGCGGAACAATCAATTTCATTACCATTGTGATAAAAATGATCACCACCTCGGCCAAATGCTCGGGAAAGGTTTTCCAAACCGACACCAAGAACAACAAGATCACGGTCATCGTCGAGAACCAAATAGTCACCGGTTCCAGCATTAAAATCCTCATCACCATAATAATTAGCCATGGTTCCATTTATAGGTGAATGACAATCAGAATAGGATGATGAGGGTGATGAGGAAGTCAACGATGATGATGAAGCAGCCAATGGATCTTCACAAGAATAGCCTGCTAATTCAAATCTAGAAAGAGCAGGTTCTTTATCCAGATCATCAAAGAATGGTTCATTGTAATAAGATTGTAAAAATATTTCATCCAAAGTAATGTCCAAATTGGTTGCACCATTAGCATGTTCAGTTAAATTGCCAGAACCATTGTTAGGTGTAATAACCTGAGTGCCTTGATTAACCGAATCACCGTTTATACTGTTACCAATTATATTGACTATGTTGGTACCAAACGTGTTACCAACACCATAATCAATTACATCAGCATTAAATTGCTTATGGATCAAATCCATTATCATTTTGATTGTTCAAAAATAAAAGTGATTATTTCCAGCAACAGTTGATTCAATTGACCGTCTCTCCTTGTCCTATCCGTACTTTATCCTCGTAACCTTTTCCCTTTCTGTTGACGTCGTTGACGTGATTAATGGTGGAACCGTTGTTGACGCCGTTGTGTAAATTTAAATTGCTATCAAATCAGTTGGTTGATCAAGTAATTGCCAAGTTACAGATGACCAGAAGAAACGAAAAAAATCAGCAAAATATTAAACTATTGTAAATATTTCCAATGTTCATTCCTTCAAATATGAGCCATTCAACAGGATCAGCCAAAAGTCAATATTATTTATTGCGCCAGTTGATTAACTTGGATAGTGGCCAGTTTATTGTTAACTGTAAAGATGAAAATAATCAAGACAAAAATTAATCATAAACTAAAAAAAGTTGAAACTTGAACAAAAACATGAAATATTTTAATGATGTTTCAGATCATCTCGAACTATTGACTAAATTGTTGAAACATTGAAAAAAAATAAAATTAAATATACACACTTTGTCTGTGAGAAACTTGGAAAGTGAGTGAACAAATTAAGAGTGAGTCGATGATGATGATAATAAAGAAAGATGATGAACAAGAAAACATAAACAATAAATGTTAAGATGATGATGATTACTGTCCTGGTTGACGGTAAATGTTAATGTAAAACAATTGAATTCCCTGTTGATTAACTTGATTCCCTCTCTCGTTTCTCATCACACTCTCCCTTTCATCTTCACATCTTCATCTCTCTGTCTCTCTGTCTCTCTCTCTCTCTTCCCTTAATCAATTGTATTGGCTTGTTGACAATATCACGTGGTACGTGTTCAGTTGTACATTTCACTGGAAATATCACTTTCATTATCGTCTGTCTATTTTCTTGTCTTCTCTTTCTTTTTTTAACTTCTATCTTCCTCTGTCTTTGTAGTTTGCTTAGTCAAACCTCTCTTTCCTCTCTCTCTATCTCTCTTCTCTCACTCTGTCTACATCCAAATTGAGATGAATCAATTTAAAAACAATGATGAAACAGTTATCATCACTCATCTTTTTATCCCCTTTTTTATGCTGTGTGTTTGTTTGGGTTTTATGCTGATTGGGACATTTGGTTTTGGGTTAACCGTAATCTCCAACCTTTTGGGTTTAACCTTTCAACTGATTGAACAAAGGTAAATGTAAACGTTTTTAATCATTTTTTAATCAAACTGTTCATTCTTTATCTTAATCTTTGATTAACTCTTCTTTTTTTTATTACACTGCATTGCACTGTTTCGCTGTAAATATTTATACCAAATAACATTCAATTGTCCGATGATTATGATTACCGGTTAATATAAAATTTATACCAATCTTAACATAAATCTAAATAACAATCTAAATAATAATCGTAATACCAATCTAGATGGTAATAAAGAGAGAAAAAAATTGGTTCAAAAAAGGCCTCAATTATTGAACAATTCATTCAATTTCCCTTCAACTGAATTTTCACTCCATTGTAAGGTTGACAAATAATAACAATAATCAGATGTGAATTCCCTTGATATTATTATTACTATCGAGCTTCGTATAAAATATATTAATAATCTAATTAACTTGCCTAATTTTGTATGAATATCACTCAATTAGCGATTTCCTGATTCACTTTTAACCGGATGATAATCATTATGATTAACCAAATGACCCTAACCTTCAATGGTTACTCAAATTTCATCTTCAATTTACCTCTTACTTGGCCTATTCACACAGATATATATACATATTAATAAGCTAATAGTTAAAAAAGAAGACAATTTACTATGTTACAATCATAAATCAACTTTAATTTAGTTAAATTTAAAGCAAAAACTTGATTCCCAAGCAATTCAAAACTAATGGTTAGAAGCAGAAAATTAAAGTAACTGTAACAGTTGACTTATCCTGATTTACATTGGGTTACATTGATTTAAACTTATCTAAGCTTATTATTTCACTCGTAAGTGAATTTTATTATCCAAGTGACAATTTAACGTTCAATAAATCAATTGTTATAAAATTAAATCAAAGCAGCATCCACAAATTACTATAACAATTGGTACTTTTACCGGTACTTCAGTGCTTACACTATCAATCTATCGACGTTTCACAAACACTTTATCTACATTTACCATGTAAAGAAAGGACGATTAAAAGATGTGAACATTGATACAGAAGATACAAGAACTACATTGATTTCAGATCTAATGTACTAAGGCGAAGCTTGAGAGCTTAACTCATTGAAACGACAAAAGTGAAAAAATCAAGACTAATTGTTCTGACCATTAGTGTTAAAGACAATTTGATCAAGAAGATTGAAGCTTTACTTGATTGTTTATGGTCAGTGTTAGTCTATTTTTTCACTTTTGCTGTTTCAATTATCTCGCCGGTAGCTGATGAATCTATGAGTAACAATCATTCTGATATACCAGTTCCAATAACCTAGTGTTTATCATGCTCTGAGTTGCTTATATTAAAATAATTAGAGACTAATTGGTTATTTAACTAATTAAATGTGTGATTATATCAGTTCATTAATGATTGATAATTAAAAGTGTAATCATGGATTTTAACGTGCAATCAAAGTAAAGACTCATTTTGTTTTGTACAATCGAACAGACTAATTATTTAAATCGATTTCAATGTCTACAGATTATTTGACTGATTATATTTAGAGTTAACACTCAAAGGCAGTTTTGATTGTTAGACATAACAGCAAATGAACAAAATAATACATTCAATTATTGTGACCTAAACACTCGAAAATAATGATGAAAGTAAACCTAAAGGCCAAATATTAATATCTTAATGATTGATTAATCAAGATACATGATTGTCTAAATTACAATTAACTGCAACAATAATTGTGAAAAAGCTGAGAAAGAATCAAAATAATGTTCAGTTAAGAGGGCAAACAAATAATCGCAAACCTTATAACCAAGTCTATGGTAACTTGAACATTGTATTGACAGGAAAAGACAATTATCTGAATTAATTGAGGATTTAATTAAATTGCAACTAAATTAGGCTCTCCTTTGATTGTTGCATTGATGATCGTCTAAAAATAGATTACTAATTTGATTATTAACGTGATAATAACTATAAATGTTGTGAGCAGAAACACAAATATAAAGAGAGAGTGAAAACCATATGATTAAAATTGGTTTGAAAAACAAATGGCTTCTTCAATTTCAATCTAGTTTACAATCAATTCACCTTGTAAATTGATTATGATTAACAATTAGTAGATTAATATGAAACAAATTGTCCGAATCAACTAAAATAATTAGTCGATTGTCATACATTTGTCTAAGAGAGTTGAAAATGTTGATAAGTCAGACTTCTTTACCAACAATCAACTAATTGTTTATTAAACATATCTTTTTGTCAATCTTTTTGTTCTCACCGTTGGGTAACCATTATTAATCAAATTAACGGTGATTTAAGGTAACAAAAGGTAAAACTAGAATTGGGTTCAATGGAAATGCTAGGTTTTTCTGGTAAACTGTTGCTTGATTCAACAAGCAGCCTTGATCATTATTTATCGAGGCTTATTAAAATTGTAAGTTAACCAGATAAATTTTCATCTTGATCAGTTGATTATTTTTTCCCTGTTCCAGTCAAAAGTGAATTGCGTATTTAACATTTAAAAGTTATATTATTTCTTATGGTGATAAACCATAATCATGATTATGATAATGGAAATTTTTTCCCTCTGATTCATTTTAGCAAAATTGAAATCCAATTTACCATAAATAGTAATGTAAGCTTCTTTATCTTTGGTCAAAATGTATTCCAACCTTTTCTCAATGAAAGTCACAATCAGTTTGCTTTTGTTTTAAAATAATTTCTAACAATCATTGAACAATTATCAGTCTACTTTGAATTCAGTCAAAGTTATAATTTCATTTTCCATTCCAAATCTTATCACAATTTGTTACCATTACATCATTAAACAAAGCATTTAAAAGGCAATGTTAACAATACAAATCAGTAAAAGGTTTACCTTTAACCTGTTCAACATTTTATCCGATTGTCTTACTTTTGTAAAATTGCTCAATTTTTTACATTATTATCAATCAGGTTCAATCACTTCATCTGATAGTATTGAAACAAACAGATTCATTGGAAAATCCCAGCTTCCAAAATGATTAAGAATCGACAAATCACCAAGATTCAATGAAACCTGAAAAAAACAAATAAGAAATAAATTAAAAATTGGACTGATTGCATTCATAATAATCAACAGGTTCGGTGCAGAAGATCAATGTTATGCACCAATTTAGTAATCAAATTGATCTTGTAGCTGATTTTGATATTGACAAAAATAATAACAATAACGCTTGATTATCGGCTTGTATTTGTATTTATATTTTCTAAATCAATATTGTCTCTAAATTGTTTCTATTAACAAGTGATTAATCGATATATCTCTCTCTGAGGTCCCTTTTGTTGTGTCACTTGATTGATAACTGAGAGTTAAATCAGTTTACTCAAACTGACATCCTAATCTACAAAATAACAATTTATCTCTGTCTAACAAATTGGTTAATTTGCCTGGCAAAAATAAAATTCAACTGAAACTCAACTGTATATTGAAACATTAACTATTCAAATTGTTGAATCAACTTGTTAAATTGTTAAGTCTTGAACCATTTAACATTGAAACAGGTAAATAGCAAGTTTAACAATTTAAAAATTCAACAAAATTGATGCTTCAATACGATTGAGGTTTCGTGTAAAACTCAATTTGTTTACATAATCTACTTTTAACTATCCTAAAGTTGATTGTAATTGTAATCCATAATCACTTTTGATTCCACAATTTTGCTGTACCTCAATCCAATTAGCTTAATTGTTCTTCATCGTATCCATTTCTTGTATTATTTGGTTTACTTCATTTCCATTTGCTTTCACTGCTTCTTGTGTCCATCCAAGTTGCCCTAAAATTGAATGAAAAATATGCATTAGAATCAATTCCTTTCATTTATTCAAAATCATAATCAGACTTAATCATATGGAATTTGTTATTTTCATTGGATTGTGAAATTCAACAATTTACGGCTAAAGTTGATCCAATTTACTGGAATCATCAAAATAGAATCCTTGATTCTTTTAATAATATTTCCCTCTTTTAATCTTTCGCTTTCTATTCTCATGATAATTTGATAATTAAACATTAATCAAACTGATCATTTTGATATTTCATTTTTTTCTCTGTAACTGGTTAATTGCATTCTACTCAGTAACAATTAGTTCACAATTCATGAATTATTTTGAAAAAATGGAAATTTTCGCAGTAGTTAAAGAGTTAAGCACTAGCTAATAATTTGGGGAAACTTTTACTATCGTTGAATCTATCATGCATTTATCAATTGAATTTAAAGCGTAACTTTCATCAAAATTTAAAAACTGAATCGATTAATTATTTGTTGTATTAAAATTATGAAAATTGTAAATGCAATACAATTTAGATTTGTCTTAATGGCGCAATCAATGATTCTGGGAAAGATACATTAATAAGGTAAATGAGTTGAAAATTATGAACTTTCTCCTTTCATGTGAATTATGGTTGTTAACAATACTTTCATTGTTTCTAAACTCACAATTTAACTGGGCAAAGTCGAATTATTTGATTTATATTTTGTTCTGTTTGTCTGATTTCGTACGATTTGTTCCTTCAAATAATATGGAATGAGTTTTATGATTTAATATAAAGATTATAGAGTTGTTGGACTAAAAAGTTGATTATATTTGATGTAGTTTTTGGCTAACAAAGCTTTTAGTTAACTAATCTAGTTAGACAATGAGATTTATCAGTCCAATAACACAAATCTCAGATAAGATGGTTGAATCAAGGTAAAATTTTCTGAATCATCTTTAACTGTTTTAACCTTTCAGTTTAACCCTCACATTAAGCAGTAATATTTCGTCAATAGCCATTGGCCATACCGTCGATACCGTCTTTGTGGCTACCCGTAACTGATGTGAGTTCAAGTTTAAACATTGGGTTAGGAGTGGATGAATAATCCATCATCTGATGATTGCAGGAAAATAAAACGAAGTTTATGTTAATGAATTCTCATCCTGAATAATTTTTTCATTGCGAAAATTCATTCCAATGATTGAAACAAAGATATACTAATTGTCAGAGCAAAAATATGAAAATGGGTCAAGATCAAGGTAAATTCCCGGATTAATCTGCCAGGCCACTGAGGTAGATTTTGATCTTGTTTTCTTTATAAAATTGATCGAGAAATTGTGAAATTGCGAGAAATTCCTACCCATAAGCTGAAATACGGTTCATGTAAAGGTTACCGTTCCTAACGGGTGAAGGGAATTAACCTGAGAAAATAAAAAAAAGTAAAGATCAGATAATCGAAATATTAATAATTTTTGCATGGTTTACTGCAAATCACTGTTGGAGGTAACATTTGATTATACTCGTAAAAAATCAATGTTTGATCGGACAAAAGAAGGGGAAATAAATCAATCAAGATGAAATTAATTTATAATTAGCCTGAAAATGTTAAAAAAATTACATTGACATTGATAGATGAAAGAAAAATAACAAATAATTACCCTTTTCTGTGTTGTTGTGGTTATTGTTGTTGAAGTATCTTACTCCACTTGTGACATAAAGCATTTGGAGAAATTCTATTGCCATACAAACCTTAGGTGAGTTGATTAAAATTGATATTTACGCTGATATTTGATTCACTGGAATTGTGATCATATTTCGGTACAATTAACAATGCCAGAAGTTTTACATCATCCCTCCAAAATTTGCTTACTGCAAAAGCAAGAATCAACGTGGTTGGTTTGAAGTTGGTAAGGACAAGCTTACTAAGAGGTTCAAATGTAAAACAAAATGGCTGGGTAAACGCGGGAATTGATTTATTGCGTTGTAAGTCTGTAATGAAATTATTTGTTTTAATTAAAGATCATTTGCAAGACAATGGGTGACTGAGTGTCACTTGACAAATAATTATAAACTATTAAACCAGTTGGTTGATAGTAACAATGTACAAAAAGTAATTTGATAAGATATTTACCATTTTCATTTGGCTGTGTTTTCCTGTGATTAGCCCTTGGTAATCCGATCGACGATGGGAACGTGGTTATTGTAATCAATTAAAGCTGGGTAAAGGCCATTAATTTGACAACCATAAGATCAATAATAATGTATTAAGGGAATGGCGATTAACGGTGTAACAATCAAGTAGTGTTGTTATTTTTTTGTAGTTGTTGGTTGTCAGCTTTTTTTGTTTCCCTCGATAACCAATTGAGAAGTAACAGCTTTTGTAATGGAGATACTTTTGTCAAGTGGAAGCATAAGATTAACAATTAACAAATTAACACGTTAAAGTCTGAAGAATAAGTTAATCAATGTTACATTTCTTGTAGTAATTGGCCTTTCTTTCGACATTATCTAATAATCACAATGACAATGATTTCTCGATTAACAATTAGCGCTACTTTAATTGTTTTCTTGGTTATCAGCTTCTTGTTCTCATGTAAGATGATTCAATCAAGATGGCAGCATCAATGTTGTCTTTTCTTTTGTCTTCTTTCAGATAACTCGTCATTGTCTTTATTTTTCTTCTTCCCTTCTGTTAAAACATCATTAATCCATTAATTGTGATTTTACTAAACATTTGCTTTTTTTAACAATTGTGTCTGCCTTTACAACAGGCTGTTTGGTTCGATGTGATTCCGTTAAAATTTGGAACCTTGACTCCAATCGACATGAGGCTAACAAATGGCTCTGGGATGGCAGTTTATGTCCACAAGATCGGATTATTTATCCAGATGAAACCGTTATTTATATCGATAAACTGGTTCGCAATCAACAAATAGTGAGTTTTACAAAACTTGTGTTCATTTTCAATGTTTGTGTAAACATTAATGTGAAACTCTTAACTTTGAAATTAAGGTCTTGCCCAACAATGGAGAAATAGTGTTGGATGACAATCTTGATCTTATTCAAGCAAATGATGCTGCTGTTTCTGATTGTGAGCCTGTCGGTGAGTATCTTTATAAATTTAAAACATTTCTCTTGTTGGTAGCATCCATAATCATTGAATTGATAACTAATTAGATGGTGAATTTTGCAAGATTCGAATAACTGCTACCGTTGAAGGTGAAATAAATGAATAACTAGCATAATGATTTATTGGTTGAAGTGATGACAGAAAATCAGATACGACTGAATGATGATTGAAGAATCATTGCAATATGACATTACAATTGAAGAGTAATTTCTTAGTTCCATAATTAGCAATTTCCGATTATCGATTGAGATGTCGTGAGAATTAGGTAGCTGACTAAATTTCTTTCCGGTTTCAATTATTTTTTAAGCATGTTTTGTATTTATCATTGATTTTAATGTAATTTAAATTTCTTATTTTGTTTTTTAATTGAATATCTTTGTTTATTACAGATCGCAGATTCAAGCTGATTTCCGGTGAATGGATGGATCCCATGGTCTGGAACCAGACATTGGCTGGCATTGTTGTCAGTGGAAGTTGGGCAAATAATCCAATTCCTCATGTTGACCGTATTCCGTGTACTAAAGATCGAATCGTATTTCCTAAAGGATTCACGTTTCAAACTTTTGTTGATTTTAGTGAGAATAATCTGAAAGTTAAATCTATCCAGATAAATGGGGTAACATTAAATGATCAAGAATTCCAATCATTCATTAGATCAAATTCAGGTCGTTATGTCTTTGCGATTCCCACTTCTAAAACTCTTACAATTGATCCTGATATTGGTAACGATTGTGACACTGGGAACGGCTGTTCTTGTGATAATAGAGCAACGAAGTTTGTCAATCGAATATGTAAAGGTGTCAAATGTTCTCCAGTAAATTGTGTAAATCCGATAAAACCAGAAGGACATTGTTGCCCACTATGTGGTGGTTTGATCAAATTAACTGGGATTTCAAAGGTTTCTGATCTATCTGGCTTCAAAAGTTATTTTGACAACTTTTGGTCAACTCGATATCCAGGGACAGTTGGTTATGCTTCAATCAGTCCACAGACATATACCCTTGAAATCATAATAACTGAGTTGGAACAGTCAGGATTGGCAAGTCGTTGCGTGCAGCATTTGTATGAAGATTTGTCAAACGATGATAACAAATTAGGATTACATTATAAATCTATTGAAATCAAAATTTCAAATTCATCGGCTAATGAATCATTACCTTTTTTTGCCGTCTTTCTTATTACTGTACTAATCATTCTAATAATTTTTGGTTTCATAATGTATCGACGTCGATTTGGTATGACTCTCACTTCAATCTGGAATAGATCAGCCTTTTCAAATTCTCAATTTACGTTTATAAGATTCCAAGGATTGGACGAATCTGAAAGACTTGGCTTGGAACTTGGATTATCTAACCAACCTCACTCAGATGAAGTAACGATTAGTTCATCCTCTTCAAAACCTATTCTCAAGTCAACATCAGCATTGTTTTCAATTTCTGAGGAAAAAGTTTCCATTGGTGGTGAAATCTCTGAAAATGTATCAACAGACGAATCTCAAGACAATCAAGTTGAACTAGAAACTGATCTTGAACCAAGATTAACACATGACAAAGCTCTTCTTCTCGATGTTGTCTCTCTAGAGCAAGATTAATTTAAATTGGATTCAAACTCATCATTATTTTCAAAATTAATAACAAATTGTAAATTTATTGAAACTAATAAAAGGACTTTCTAAAGTCTTCCTCCTACAAATTTAATAGTTACCTAATTAACCTATAAATGTTGTAAAAAGTGATTTAGATTGACTAAATGGACATCGTTTATTTCGTTGTAACCTCGTTTAACCCCTTTTGGCGTAAAAAACAGAATCAACTGAAAAATTAGTTCATCTTTTAATTGAATTTGAATAATAAACTAATTAAATGTTGTCTTCAGTTATTAGTTTACAATTCGTGTGGTCAAATTAAATTTAATAGATTGGATGAATGAGAGATGACATATTAGTTGCTAACCTTTTTTTATCAAATGAAACCTTACTGGGAATATTCAAATTGTCAATTTTGGATGAATAGTGAATAATCCAGATTTATCTATTCTGTTTCCATCATTCATGATAGATTCCATGAATTGTGACACAGTCAAATGCATCATATTCATTTACAAGTCTTCCCAATTGAAAAGATTTTGTTACATCTCAAGTATAAAAGTAGTCTAATTAGTGTAATTGAGAGTCAGTTAATCTTGAGCGTTCATTGGATACACTTTTGCTCCAGTAAATAACTAATTAGATTCAGTGCCCAACAGTAAATTCAATTCAGTATGCAAACAATTATACTAAAAGTATTTACACTCTTTTTGATTGGAATAACAATGGTAAGTACACTGTTGATTCTAGGTGAAAATTGAGTTACATGATACTATCATTGGATGTGTTATCAACTTGTCTTATATTATTGTCCAGGTTAACACAAGACCATTTGATAATGATGCAAGGATAATACGCTTACCATTCAACTGGGATAATCAGATTCAAGATAAAGGTAAGCTCGTGAGTTTATACTGAAATTTATTTGGTGACTTGTGACAATCTTTTCATTTCTGTTGTTTTTTATGTTGAAATAACCGACAGGCGATCCAATTTGGCAATTTTATCCATCAAAGCAAACAACAATTTATAGTTATGATGAGTTTCCGGTGATTAAAGAGAAATCCAAGAAAAATAAAATTGATCCATTGAATGGATTGGTGGTGGGATAAACATCATTAACATGATTCCTTTGGATTTATGTGACTTGTATTGTGATCCGTCTTGGTAAGCGATAATTTATCAATGGAATTAAAATGGCAAAATCTTGTGTTGTAACTGGACTTGGTTCAAATTAAATGTTGATTGGATTGATGATGGTTTCCGTGAAAACATGAATCAAAACAGGACTTATTTTGAAGTTGGTTTTCAAAAAGGCAGTCTAACAATAAATTAATTTTACCCAGGTTGGTCATCCATCAGAAGCAATTTTAGTTTCCATCTTATTAATGTTACTGTAAGCATTCCACCAATATAATTGTAAATCTAATTCGTTAAATCTGAAATAAAAAAATATTTAAACAGAATTTTGACTCATAACTGAAATATTTTGTAAAATCTTTTGATTAACTTACAAGATTCTCACCAATCACCAACTTTCGACTGTAATGCCAAGATATCAAATAACATCTGCAATTCAGCTTGTATTGAATTTAATCCAAGATTCTAGATTTAGCTTGTCGGAAACACATTAAATACTGAAGCCGATAATAAATTCAAATTCAATGATTCGATTCATTAATCATTAAAGTTATAACAAATGATTTAAATTTTTCGATTAATCGTTTTTTTCCAATCTATCGAAAAACTAGCGGAAAGTCGATAAATTCGGTAAGTCACTGGTTACTTTGATTATCATTTTTTTATCATAATTATTGATTGATGAAAAAAATTACTAAATCTTCAATTAATATGCAAAACTAAATCGTAAAATTATTTACAATTATTTACTCATAGTTAGTGTACTCACTAAATCTAAATAATAGAAGGATATTAGAGAAATCGTACCCATTTTGATTAGTTGCCGGTCTTGAATTGCGAATCAAATATCTAATAATTAATAAGCTTTTATTGTAAATTAAGGCTCTGTTTATTGCATTTACAATCTGATAATTGCTTGGCTCTTAATAGCCTTCAGTCTATTAGATTAGTATCAATTAATAGAGGTGAAATTAAAAAACATTTGCTTTGATCCTATTTAATTGCGGGTATCAGTTTTTTCAGCTACAGGATTGACTCTCAGTATCTTTTTCAAATTTATTTTTGTTCAAAATACTATTTAACCCGTTAATTTAATTCATGACTGTGTTAACAATTTGTTGAAATCAGATCTGGACGTGTCAATTATGGTTTGGATTTGTCATTTATAATGATAGATATTTAGAGCTGAAAATCGGATATCTGGCCCATTATCAAGCAATGTTTCCTTGTAAATCAAAAATGCTCACAATCACTCAGAATCAGGTTTTATATGTGATTTAATTAATTTGAAGAGTGAGACACTTTAAATCAAAGGTTTGAGCAATCAACTGATAGGTGGAAAGACATACTATTGAAAGTATAAAAAAGATATGATATCGATTCAGGTAATCAATTGCCATTGATCCTCTCTCTTCAAATAAAGATTATCGCTTTCCAACTTGACCTATTCAATCATCTTCAGCTGATTCTAAAGTTAACTGTTTCTCTTGTTTATCTGTCTTTTAATTAACCATTGTTAGTCAAATTTATTTGTCTCGTTGTAACAGAGATGACTTTAGTTCGTTTTATTAAAAATTCTCGTAATAATGACACCTTAATAGCTGGTGATTTTATTTTTCGACGCAACAAATGCAGAGATGAAAAGGTTTACTGGAAATGTAGGAAAGCCAACTGTCCTGCAAAAATAACTACCCATAATGGTAAAGTGATGGGCCATTTCTTGAGACATAATCATGATGACACTAATCAAGAGGAGATTACTCGTTTAGAAGGGCTGTCACCACCAACAAATTATCAAGTAAGAATGCTTTTTAGATCTAAAATGAAATCTATATATGATACTAATTCACTTTTCTTGTTCATTCTTTTTTTGCTCTTGTTTTCATATTAACCTATCAATGCAGCAAATAGCCCAAGATGATGAAGTTAGTCAACAAGTGTTAGTCAATCCTGCAGAACCTTTCGCTGAGTATTCTTTTAATAGCTCTGGAAGTAGTTACATGGAAACATCAGCTGAAGAACCCACGTTACAATGTGATCATAATCAACTAGAACCAAGTACGAGTAAAATCCAAACGAATTCACCATCTACCTCATCGTCTCTCCAATCAGCGGTTAAGGAAATCAGTGAATCACAGAAAAAAATTGAAGAATTAGTAAACAATCTTATAAGTTCGACCGAAAGTGATTCTCTTCAGACGGAAAATTTGAGATTAAAAGTTGAATTGGAACAAGTTGTTCGAGATTGGTCTACCGAGATGGAGGCAAAGGAGTTACGGTTACAAGAGGAAACAAGGAAAGCTGAGCAAGTTCAAAAATTTTTAGAAATGCAATTAAACGCTGAAAGAGAGGAAAAGCAAAAATTGGAGCTTGAGAACGAACAATTGAAACAATTAATTCAACAGTACGAGATTCAAAATAAAGAAGATGAGGAACAAACTTACACTTTAGAAGAAGTAACTGATCAACTATGTCACTCCGATGATGTTTAGTTAAACAATATTTATCTGAATCTGTCCCGGTTTTTTTATACCAAGATGTATCAACAATTCTTGAATTCAACCATTCAACCATCTTAAATAGTCTTTTTCTTTATCTCATCTCCAGAACAAATACAATTCTGTATTCTCAGCGGAAACCAAAGACAATTTACATATACTCATCATTTCAAGAATCTCATGACCATCACCTTGTTATACTTTCTGTTCTTGCTCTTCAGACTTACGATTTTTTGTCGTTGAATTATTCCATGGAAACAACCACACTTTTTTTCTACTCAGTGATAGTGCAATTCGAATTATAATCAAATTGATAGTATTATATTGACTGAATCAAATAGGAACAACTTGGTGTAATTAATAGAACACAAATGCTTGACTTGTTTTTTTTTAATTTTATATTTCTTTTATTGTCAACAAATTATGGAAGATGAAGATGGAGGAATCAAAAATGCCATTAGATGCTTATTAAGATGTCATGAATGATAATAGAAGGATAATGAAATAAAATATCTACTTTTGTTCGAATCACAGTTTATCTGTATCTAATTCCCATCTCATGCACGCGCATTTAAAATTGAATAATTACTCTATTCTGCTGAGAAAAATTCAAATTAACTAGGTGATCCTACATATTCCAAGCTTAAACCAACAGTTAAAACAAACAGTTTATATTAGAGACACTTAATCACTTTATCAGACATGAAATTGTTTCATTAGCCGTATAGAACTTTAACCAACAGCTTATGTTTGCTGTTTTATCAGCGACCGAATTAATTATTCCACGAGACGAAGTCTCAAATAAAAGGTTGCTAACTCTTTCGATTGAATTGACTTTGATACTTTCCCTAAATTCTAGTGAAACTTGCATTTAATTAAACATTGACTCACTAACGCAGATAATTTGTTCAAGCCTAGACAACAGGACTGAAACAGATAAATTTAACAAAATATTTATTAAATTGAATATATTCGATACTTTTTACGAATAGAATAGAAAATTAGATTTAAATACATTAAATTGATGCGTGGTGAATTATGGAGGGATTTTCATGATAGCTTTGAGTTTGGTGAATTCCATTAAAAACATAAGATATCTATAAATACATATTTATATGAATTAATGGTATTTACAAAATTGTTATTTACAATTATGTGATGGTATGTGATGATATGTGAGTGACTAAATATTTTTCTTTCGTGATTTGTTTGTGCGCTTTTCGCTTGCGAGATTTGAGGTAAGTTTAGTTAGCACTAAGTAGTGAAATTGACTTGTATAATGAAATTTGTGCGCTGGACTATAGATGAGAAAAATCAATTTGATGAGCAATAAGATCAATTTTGTAAAATATTGGCGTGCTGTCAAAGTGGTGGATCGTTTGGGTGACGAAGTCTAATCCTATTTTCCCCACAATCTGTCCAAGTTCCATAATATTCAACAGGTACCATGTATGCATCACTGTTGTTCATTTGAAGAGAATCGTTATTGTCACTGGTTCTTTGTTCAAGTGGTGATGATATGGGTGTAGAATTGAAAAAGTTATGACGATGCTGGTATTTTGGGCTGTCTGGATTGGTACGACCTGGTCGGATAATCCTATCAACATCAGGACAGTGAGGCCGAGGACCAGGTTCAGGAGTATATGTAAATGTAAGACTAGTTGAATAAATGACACCATCATTACGGACCAAAGAAATAGGTACTTGTGTTGGTTGTCGGACCCATTCCCAGCCTTCTCTTATTTCAGAGATCTGAGGTATAACGCAGAGCAAACTTTCCTGGCATCTGAAAAACGTATGAATAGAAAAGCTTTAATATATTGTAAAATTGGATGAAACATTTTTAATTTTCATGTTTCCTTTTAGTTGATAAATTTGTTGGTTGAAGAGAGATGAGAAATAAATGTAACACATCCATCTGAATAATCAAATATTCAAGCAGTAAAGAAATACAATGTAAGAGAAAATACCTGTAGAAAGTTTCTGCCTCGACTTCACCAAACCAGACTTTTAGTGATTCATTGAAATTTTCACCATTCAATTCTAGCATGGCAACATCACCTCCACCATTCATATTTAAACTATGAACGATAGGGACCGGAGTAACTGCGTCCTTTATGAGATTCATTCCTTCATAGAATGTATATTCTGCTTTATCTGTACTTATGATTGTCCATGAGGCTCCATCCGTTAAAACTTCCTTATTTTGACCATTATTACATGCTGTTGCTTGGAATTGGATGATTTTATCTTGATTAAGGCATAAATACATCCTTTCGGTATCTTTCAAGTAGAAAGCGCATTTGTGCAATTGAGATACTGGATCATCAGCGTCCAATAAGGCTTCTTGTTTATCAACTTTTCGTATGATCTGTTGGAATAAAATTAAGAAACGAAAATTGTGAAATCATTTTCCCAAAATTTTTTTACTCTAAAATACACAATTACTTACCAATCTTGGAAGAGCTACACCAGTAATAGCGTCAACAAGTTTAACAGTTGAACCATAATGAATGAAACCGTCTTGGACGGTGAATTCCTCTGACTCAGCTTCGTTATCATCAACTTAAATTGAGGAAATGTTAATTAATACAATATAATATTCATTAAAATATTACTCAACGGAAAAAAACAAAATTATTCACAAACAAGTTTTGCACTGAGATTAATTTAAATACATGATGTATATGCATTATAATGTGAAGTCAATCGCTTTGAACGTTAATGTGAGCTACAGTAAATCACAATATGGAAATTTAAACATGAGATTAAACTTTTGTTAATTTTTGTAAGAATGGTGATATAGTCTTTTGAAAGGTAGCTGATCATTCATCTATTTTGACGGCTAGCAAAAATGCATGAAGTTTTCTGAATTTACATCTAAAAAGTTGAGTGTGAGTTTAAAATGAATTATTTAAAATCATAGCAATAGCAAGAAAATCTGTTAAAGTCGGTTAGGATTAAACTTACGCAAGTGTATTGTAAACGCTGACCATTGAGTTGAGCTGGCATGGAAATGCTTATTTTCCACATGTAAGTACTTTGTGCTTACAGTTTGAGATCTCAATCGGTTGAAGAGTGCAACTTTGGTTCCTGAGCCGATACACACTAGAATAAATAAATAAAAAACAAAGCAGACGTGAGTTTCAGCCAGATGCATACACAGTATTTCAATAATGAATTTCAGATTAATAACTTACAGTCAGTATTTTTGAGGGATTGTTTCTTTTTAGATGGCTTGGAAATTACTTTGATTCTTTGAGAATAGAAGGTTCCAATATCATCACTATTAGAATAAAACATTTTGACTGATAGCATGAAATGTTTCCTTTTGTCAGAATCACTGATGAATAATGTTTTGGCCATACAAAAGTTCTGCGAAAAGAAGGGTAAAAATATTATTAGATAATTCCAAGCCAGAACGCAAATATATACAACCACAAGTTTGTTGTCAAGTTTACCTCTCCATTGAAATGCAACTGTTGCATTTCTTGCTCGGGACTTCCAATGCCAATAAATGCACAAACTTGAGCCCCTTCTTCTGAACATCCTTCTTTGATCATTCTTTCTTTTCTTTCCTTCCATCCTTCCCCAGTCAAATAAATACACGGTGGCGGACAAAAGAAACGCTTTTCTGATCCATATGATTTCTGGGCAACTTTGGCATGCAAGATGATCACTTTGATATCCTTTTCTACCTTTTCTGATTTTGATCGCTCAGCAAGTTCCTAAAATAAAAAAAGAAAAATGGTTAAAAGAACGACATTAAAATTTAAAAACTAAAAAATTTGATTTGAAACATCATTTAAACAACGGTTTTGAGAGAAAAGTTAGCAATAAATGGATAAATCATAACATATTTGTAATTTACAAGTTTGGACTGCCACTTTCAACTACAATTTGTAATTTTAAATGATGGTTCACATGAGCTCATAGTTTACTTTGATAAATTAACTAGAATTAAAATTTAAACTATAGCGACATTGTTTAAATACAAAATTTTTCAGTCAACTTACCGCTTTTTCAAAAAGATATTTTCTCATAGCTTCACGGGTCAAAACATGCTCCGATCCACTGGCTTGGAAGGAATTATTTTCCTCATTGGGTATCGCGTACATTTCAAAAAAATACAAGATATTAAATAAAAATCTCGAATGTCAAGATCAATAATCAAATTTTTCATGAAGAAATAAAAACAAACAAAATGTTATTTCTTGAAAATGTTAACAAAAACAAAAAAAAACAGAAACTTGTGGCTTTTGTAGCTCCATCTGTTGATCAATTTTTTAAATAAAATAAACTTGTTGAAGTTAAGTTTATCTTCTTCTCTCTCGAGTGAGAATTACTCTCTTCATGTCTCTCCTCCCCTGTCTTTCGTATAATCTTTCGCATTATCTGTCTATCTACTCTTGAGAGAGTGAGAGATGAAATTTTAGTGTGTTTCAATTCATTTTGTTCAAGTCTTTTTTCTCAACTTTTCTCATTTATGTTGAGTATGAAATTTTACTACCAACCGAAGTTGAAGAGAAACTAATTTTATTTCTTTCGTTTCGTTTCTCGCTGTGATTATCTCTCCAACGTATTTACTCTCCTTTCTCTCTCCCTCACCAAACGATATCATTCATCATCATCGCCTCACTCTCGTTCTCTCTGTGTTCTTTTCATATCGTTGATTCTCCTTCTTTTTATCCTATCATTTTCACTTTCTCTTTTTCCAATCATTCTCAACTCTTTCACTCAACTTTTTACAATATCATCTCCCATCCAGACGTTTAGTCTAACAAGTTCTCTCATCATCATCTCTCCCCTCTTTAATCTCTTAGTGCTACAGTTTTACTATTTGATTTTAACCCTTTCATTGTTGTCGTTACTTCTCTCTCTCTCTCTCTCTTTCTTTATCTTTCTCCCTTTTTCTCGTTCTCTATCAACATTGTATACATTCAAACAAACACACAAAAACACACTCTCTCACTCTCTATATCTCAACTAATATGATCTCATTGAGTGTCTGATGTATAAAATTAACTTCTCAATTGATTCTCTTTTGGGACTTGATGCTGTTTCAAAGGAAAATGAAAAAAACCGTTGCCGTTTGGAGGACAAAAGAGGAGAAAGACTCTCTTCAGGAGAAGGAAGAAGAAGCCCAGACATTACTGGTGATACTGGTGACGACATTTCTGCTAATAACGGCAGTGGTTATGAAGATGGAGAAGGAAGTGTTAACATTAGCAACAACAACAACAACAACAACAATAACACAAGTGAAGAAGGTCGAGATGGAGGTGGTGTCTTTATGGTCACTACCGATAGTGTTATCCATATATCTGAAGATTTGAAAAGTTGTTCCATTGTTGGTAGACCTTTATCATCTCCACTTGGAAACCTTGACTCTTACAGGAGTCCAATGTCGAGCCATCATCCTCTAACCTCACCAGCAGCATCAATAGTCAAATCAGAGGAATCCCAAATGTCCGTTGTTTCCAATGAATCTCAAAGTGCTGGTGACACATCAAGTTCCATTGCCTTAGTGTCAACAGATTCTCTTGTTGTTATTGGGTCCAACGCAATTGGTGGTAATAGTAGTGGTCTTGGTGGTGGTGGAGGTGATGATGGTCTTGGCAGTAGTAGTGTTTCCAGGGGCTCACCTATTGGAGGTAAAGGCTTAACAAAAGAAAAGACAAAGAGGAAGGAAAAGGAAGGACCTTACTGCGCCAAGTGCAAAGTTCATTTTGAATATTTTGAAGTGAAAAACCATAAGGATAAATGTGCAAGACGTTACTGTCAATGTCGTATTTGTAAGCTTATCGATAAGGGTAAAAATTTACGAGGAAAAAAGAAGAAAGCAAATCCATCGGAAGCCAATTCATCGAGCCAACAACAGCTCTCCGAAGGTATGTTAACAACCTTTTCTCAAATTTGTATCTTTTTTTCTTCTCATCGCGTTCATGTTATTATTTATTCTCTTCTTTCTCTCTCTCTCTCTTCTCACCAACAATTAAACTTAACTATCATTCATTAACCTGTTGTTAGCTTCTCTCTCTCTTCTTTCTGTCTCTCTTTACTCTCTATCTCTTCCATCAACCTTACCTGCTGAATCTTTCAACAGTTTTACTTTCTGCTTTCTTGCCTTCCTGCTGTCTTTAACCAACTACCCTTTTCTTCCTCCTCTCCTGAATCTGGTGTAATTATAATTATTCAATGTTTGATCATCATTTTAATCAACCTTGATAATCAAAAAAACCTAAATATGTTTAAACTGTTTCAAAAAAAGAGATGAGTTTGTAAAAGCTAAAAGTTACTTTTCAATCAATCAAATGACGCAACCCTTTTTATCTCACTATTGAGCTTATTTCATTTAACGTTAGATGGCAACCATGAAAATTCAAACGCTTTTCAACTCTTTTTTAGTCCAACATTAAAACAAGCTAGCTGATTATTCATCTATTACATTGCCTCTCAACTGAATGAAATTGCCTGAATTATCATCTAAAAAATTTAGTGTGAGTTTAAAATGAATAAACTCATAGCAATAGCAAGAAAATCTGTTAAAGTTGGTTAAGATTTAAACTAACGCTGACCATTGAGTTGAGCTGGAAATGCTTATTTCCCCATGCAAGTACTTTGTGCTAACAGTTTGGATCTCAATCGGTTGAAGAGTGCAACTTTGGTTCCTGAGCCGATACACACTGGAATAAATAAATAAAAAAAACAGCAGACGTGAGTTTCAGCCAGATGCATACACAGTATTTCAATAATGAATTTCAGATTAATAACTTACAGTCAGTATTTTTGAGGGATTGTTTCTTTTTAGATGGCTTGGAAATTACTTTGATTCTTTGAGAATAGAAGGTTCCAATATCATCACTATTAGAATAAAACATTTTGACTGATAGCATGAAATGTTTCCTTTTGTCAGAATCACTGATGAATAATGTTTTGGCCATACAAAAGCTCTGCAACAAGAAGGGTTAAAAATATTATTAGATGATTCCAAGCCAAAACGTAAATATACAACCTCAAGTTTGCAAAATTTCCGATCATAAATTCATCAAAACTTATCAGTTGACAAATTTGTTGAGACTAGAATGTGGAGAACTTCAAAAGACAAATTTTCATGTAAGATGAAGTTCCATTGAAATGCAACTGTTGCTTATGAACTCACTTTTAGTTATTTTTTCATTAGCAAATCTTGCAATTAATGTTTAACATGCAGTTACAAACTTTCAAATGTTGGTGAAAAAAGAGATTATTTAATTCAATTCGATAAGCTTTAGTAATTTGATTATTTGCTAGCTAATTGACTCAATCATTGAAAGAGTTGAAATAAAGTGTCGTCTTTATGGTCACCATGAAGATGTAAACTGATGAAAAGTGTTATTATTTCACGGCTGTATCAATATTGATGTAAACTGTCTCGTGTAACATTCAGAAATAAACTCTTACCTGAGAGCAAAGATTCAAATGGTTTCTCACTGTTTACATGATTTTTGTTTACATTTCATGTCACTTTTTTTTACCAAACAAGATTAATCATCCAATAATAATCCTAGTAATTTAGTTTTTTTTTGTTTCCGGTCTGATGAAACTGATAACTTACAATATATTCAATTGAATCGTTAAGCTTGAGTATTAAAGTTCATATTTTTTGCCAATTTCCAGCTAACTTATAAAGAAAGCAGTTGCATGGTAAAATGATGCATTAACTCACTTGATAGTATAAATTCAAGGTTAATTAAATCAGCTAATATTCAACTACATTGAAATACCACGAGTGCCAATCAATAAAGTTGCATTTAAAGTGTTCAGTTGAATCACTGAAAATGAACAGATAATTAGAGTTAGCTAATTAGAAGGTGTGAATCAATTGATGAAAGAAATGATGAAAAATTGTGATTATTTGCTTAAGATGGTCAACTATCGCCACCTAATATCATGATCTTTTCATTTGAATTGGAGGTTGATTGAGTTTACCTTTTTATCATTTCTATTGACACTTTTTTCTTCTCCTTCCATTAACATTGAATTTAAATTGTCTGGAAACTGAATATAAATCTGATAAATACATCAGTATATTAGTTACTTTGGACGTCTTTTTTTCACCATTTCTGTGTCTTAAACAAACTTCACATTTCATGTAATTTCAACCCTTTTATGCATCTCTAACCATTTTCATTTAGAGTTGAACTGAATCAAGCAAAAAGGTTAACAAGAAAGTCTCTGATTAATTAAAGTCTAAGACATTAAACATTCAAATAAAGTGACAAGTTGAATGTTGAACTGATTTGTGTGTTTGTACATTTGTGTATATTTCAACCTCAAATTAGTTCCCAATCATTTAACAATTTAGCAGAATCAGATTAAACATAAATCGCCGTTTTTTCTTGTCCTTTTCACATTATCTTGTTATACTGTTTTATATTGAAGTTAACATTGACTTAATGATCGCTAAACAATTGTTGGTGCACTTGAATTGGTCACCAATCAACAGTTGTGGGTTAATTGACTCTCGTATCAAGATAAAGATAGAGACAAAGATGAACTTGAAAAATGATATTCTCATGAAACTGTTTTCATGTGAAGCGTCAAATGCTGTTGAAAAGTGCATACAAAAATGAGATGTTAAATATTTTGTTGCAAATTTACATTGCCTGTTGATAACAATTGTCATGTTTCACTTGAATAAAGTTACTGTTAAGTTGATAACTGTTTAAACATACAGTTGTATAACCAGTTGAATGTCAGTAATTCAACTTGTAATTGATAGGAAAAGAAGAAGAAGAAGAAGAACTGAAATTGTAATGAAAAAGATGATCAACAACTAATTAACCAATTGATTTGACCTGTCAAATTGTTAGGTTAAATGTTGTAGCGAGCAAGCAAAAAAAAGAGAGACTCAAATAGCTTTAGGTGTTTAACCACTAAACTTTGATCCACTTTACCTGGTTAATATGCATTTGTGTAAATGTTACCAACCAAGCAACACTAAAAGGTAGAGACAAATTTAATTTCATTGTTAATAATACGGAAATAAAAGGCAAGGTAATTCACCGAGACATTGATGATTGTTTCTATGATACTTGAGTGTGTGTGTGTGTGATTATGAAAAATGATGTCAAAATGAAATTGAAGGTAAAGAGTTGTGCTGTCTGACTTAAACACGAGGTTAAGAGATGCTGATTCACGTGGTAACAATGAATGCGTATATAAATAGGAATCAGAACAAAATTATATCAGAGTAATTATAATATATTGAAAAGTTGCTTCAGGCAGTTGAGTATCATTTGGATTAGTAAAGCAGAATGAGAAAAAAAAGAGGTTTGATAATGTGATAAGTGAAAGATTGTTATTAGATCGACAAGTTGACAATCAATAAATGGAGTCTTTTTCATTTGTTCAATTCAATTGTGAGATTGAAACTTTGCCAATCCAACCAGGTAAGTTAATTAGACGTTCAGGTTTGTTGAAAGTAAAACAAGAAAAGTTAATCACAATGACAATGATTAAGTTGACAGATTTTTCTGTAAAGCATGATATAATGGTGTTACAAGTTCTGACTAAATTCATTATTTTTCACCAAATCATTTTGTTTTAAAACATTTAAGCTTGAGTTTTAATAATAGATTAATGGGAAGAGAAGTTTCAAATTTGAAAGTTTTTACATGATGAAAGGCAAGAACTGCGAAAACTCGAAAAGATTATTCATGAAGATCACAATGAATGCTTATCCAGCCTGAGGAATTACAGTGAAAGTAAAATGAATTGAATTTGTGGCCTTAATCTGGTTTACTTTGGTTAAGTTTTTCCCTTTGGAATCAGCTTTAACCGGTTCAACTTAAACTCAGTCTGGAAACTCTTTCCAATAACCATTCAGAATAATCATGAATGTTTGAGTATTCAGATGAAAGGGTAAAACTGTTGTCTCTCTTCTCTCTCTCTCATTATCATCCTTTTGTTATTTTGTTGGTCAATATCATCATTATCATCATTCGATTCCCTTCAGAGAAAAAGGTAAAACTAAAAAGATTTCAACTTTCCAACTCTGTGTAACTTCTTGATGATCATCCTGAGTATTCAACTTTTTTTTCTGTTCACTCTCTTTACCAAGGAAATGGCGAAAGTTTGCAGACAGCAGAAAAAAATGCCTCAAGGTTTGAATGAAGGTAAAAAAACGAGTAAATCAAATCAGGAATAAAAATAAGTGCAAAAATTTGGCCAAACAATTGAATATTTCCTTTATTTATATTGAAACATAATCAACATTTTATTTAACTATCTCTTCATTGTTATCTATTAGGCTTCATTATCTTATTGACTTTACAATTTTGCCCATTTTTCATTTGCTTTATAAAAATCACAAAAATGCCTTTTCAAATTATGCGCCTTTTTTGGTTCAACTCTTGTTTGAACTAATAACTTAGATTTTGCTTTTTCAAGTTTAACTTGTTAATGAGATTTTATTGAGTTAGCAACAACATATAAACAAAGGCTGAACATGAAGATGAACATGAAGATGAACATGATGAAGAGAGGGAAAAAAGTAGGTCTCCAAATTGAGTCTTAAAGAGTTGGAGAAAGCAATGAAAAATGTTGAAGTGTAATATATTAATATGAAAAGATTGTATATAAAAAAGAAGCGGAATCAGTTACAAGGAAGAAGATGAAGTTTAAATAAGGAAAGGAAGAGACGAAAAATGAAAGTAGGAAGATGAGCAAGAAAATGACTAGACAGGGTGTTAGACAGGAAAAGAGAGAGAAGGAAAGAGAAGTGAGAAAGAGGTGGAGAGATGATAAAAAGAAGAGTAAATGTTTGAATTAAGTGGAGGCCTCAAAGGGCCTCTTAACCAGCTACCATCTCATCCTCATCATTATACAATCATCGAAACGTTTCTCC